TCAAGATTTTACAGAGCTCCGGAAGTGATTCTCGGGTGTAAGTATGGTCTACCGATTGATATGTGGAGTTTTGGATGTATAGTAGCGGAGTTACTAACAGGTAAAACATGATTATTATGATCTTGGTTTAATACTTGTACTCTTGTCGAGATGAATACGATGTTTTTAATGGTCTATTCGGTACATTAACCTAGGGACTTCAGTAAAAATGTTAACGGATTTTCAATATTTTTTCATAGGCTTTCTTTGGGTGGGTAGAGCTCCTATAAAATTACTTTAAACGAATTCAAAGGCGGAACACCAATGACTGCGCAATTAATTTCAACTCATGCAAACAAATTTTCCAAAAGTCAAGTTGAATGTTCATGATTGCTACAAGTACTGTCAAGGCAAGATACCAAAAATAATAATAGTTGAAAACACTTTAGTGAGCTCGGAGTCGGAATAGAAAACATCAATACATATATGATGAACAGTTAGTGTAAACTTTCTAGTACTTCTAAAAGTACCCTAACTTTCAGTTGTATGATCAAAAAAGTAGAAAATGGAGTACTCTAAAATGAACACGGCTTCCTGTGATATAACTGACTTTAACTCAATATGTTGACATAAAACTATGGCTTTAAATATATAAGATCTGAATGTTTTCACTACTAAAACGTTATTTGCTTACTTTGTTATGTTTATTTATTTTTGTAAACTTGATAAAAAACTCCTTAAATTTGACTAAAGCAAGAACAATCAATGTAGCAGAATAATATGAGTCCACTATATTTCGCAGTTTCTCGTCAGCTGCCCACCACCTAAATATAATAGTATTATTCTTTAAAAACCAGTGTATATACTTACATATCTTCCTAATCGACCATTTGTATTACGACATATATATATTTCGAAAGGACATATGAAGTGGATTATATTTAAACTTCAATAGCTTTTGTCCACTAAACTACAAAACTTTTGGTTAGAACGTTCTTTAATCGTATCAGAAGATTATGTTGATGAAGAGCTAACCGTAGTTGAACGTTGTTTATGTGATAATATTACCCTCAGAAATTCATAAACAAGTATGGAAGATTAAAACAAAGGAAATAGAGTATGCTGTAGTTGAGAAGCTTGCATTCCTAAGACTTGGCTTCAATGGTGATGAAGTAGCTGTAAAGACTGGTTTCAGAATAAAGCCATAACAAAAAGGACTTATCCAGCTGCCAAGCTCATCACACTAATTGCTCATTAAGACAGTCGTGTGAGGACAAATTCCCACCTTATTATATTCACAAATTTACATGTATATGCCAAATATACATCGGAAGAACAGAAAGAGGGTTAGTGTCCGCATCGCTGAGCACATCCCATAGGAGCTTAGACTGAAAGGAATATGTTTCCAGCACTGCGATCGCACACCATCAGATTAACAGTGGCCATGGTGTTGATGTGGCAAAATGTTTCAAGATGATTAAGAAACAAAGGAAGTCAGACTGATTACGGTTAACCGAAGCAATTACGATAAAAAGATTTAAACTAAATTTATATACTCAGAAAGATTCAGTTGTCAATCTTGCTTTGGTGAACTTAACAAATGTTTGTTACCCAATTATTCTTTTTATGACACTAGTTATTAGTTCTCTTTCCTTATCTGACCTGTACTCAGTTAGTTAATTTCTCTAGAAGTTACATAACTATAACATTAATATATTATTCCTACATAATTGTTCCTATCTCCCTAGTTGTTTATTCTAGATGTTCTTATATTCAACCTAAAAATATCCACAATAATTAACATATGAAAATCTCTTATCATTGTTTCATAAATAATTCTGTGTTCATTAATATTCACTGATAAAAACTTTTCCGATGTTTTGACAAAGTATGTACATTGGTTTTTAAAGGATAATACTATTATATTTAGGTGTTGGGCAGCTAGCTGACAAGAAACCGCAAAATATAGTGGATTCATGTTATTCTATTACACTGATTGTTCTTGCACGAGTGAATTCTATAAATAAGAAAAAGTGTGAAACTCCCTAAACGAATGTGAAAATTTTTTATTCTTATTCCCATCATTAGGTGCTCCTATATTTCCAGGAGAAGATGAAGGAGACCAACTTGCTTGTATAATAGAATTGCTTGGGATGCCGCCCCAAAAGCTACTGGATCAATGCCGAAGAGTGAGAAATTTTTTCTCAACGACTTATGGATACCCAAGATACTGCATGGCTATGGATGCAAATGGCTGTGTCGTACTTCGCAGTAGTAGTACCAAAAGGGGTAAAATTAGAGGTACTCCTGGAAGTCGGTCATTAGTCACGGCCCTTAAAGGTTGTGAAGATACAGTTTTCCTTGATTTTATTAAAAAGTGTTTACGATGGACACCAGAAGAGCGCATGACTCCACGAGAGGCTTTTAAACATGAATGGCTTCGCAGGAAACTGCCGAAACCCCCTGGATTCAAGAACATGTCTTCAAGTGTATCGAACCCTAACACAATGAACAGAGCCACCCATACTACACAATTACCACCTAATATTTCTACAACTATTAATACTGCATCCAACACAACCACGACAATTACAGATAAGACGTCTGTAAGTTTAAAACCCTTTGGGAAAGTTCAAAGTAGTGTTTCAAGGACCGCACGTGTTAGTAAGTTAAATGGTGAAGGGTGTGTACATCAAGTTGAAAATAGTTCTGTTCACGCAGCTGTTTATAATTCATGTGATTCTACGAAGGCTACAGCCCCATGCTCTATCACAAGTACGCCTTTAGCTACAAGTGAACCGAGATCTATAACATCAGTTAGTAAATCTGCAAGTCAAATGTACACTAACTCTGAAATTAACCCAGAAAATAAAATAACAATGACAGTCACGACGGAATCACTTCAAGGTGTAGGTGAAAGAATACTCATAAGAAAGAACACATTATGTACCGATAACATAAGACAATCTGAACATAAAGAACGATAGTGTAAAACTCACAACTAGGTGAAATTAGGTATACACTACTGCAATTTTCGAATAAGTTGATACGTCCTCCAAAATTGATATCCAGAAGTTTTTCTTTGAACGGATATTTGAGAATAAGATAAAAAATAATTCGCTCTACTCTTCTAACTTTATTTTGCGTAAATTTTACTTTGATTTTCTTTTCTATAGTTTGCTTCTACCTGGGTGTATTTTGACGATTATTTTTAACAGTAAGAGAGTTAGTTCAATAATCTTATTCACACATATTTTTTCACATATTTGTTATTTTATTGATAAGTAATTGATGGCAATAGCAACAGTGATAATAATAATTATAATTATAGTCATGAATTATTATGTTGACTTATCTGTACAAATTTACTGAACTTTCATATGTACTACATACGAAATTGTTGAGATGTATCCCAGTGATATTTTAAAAATCTTATGCTGGTAGTAAAAACCAAACCAAACATTCAGCTTTTGTTAATATTTTAGTTTTTTTATTTTCTGCAAAAACTGGATGATATAATAAAAGTGTTATTAATGAGAATAATCACTAATGTGAATTAAAGACAACTTCACGTAGCAAAACACCGATACAGTGAATTCCTAAAGGTAAATATGAATCTATTTGTTTAATGTGTAAAAAAACCGACTTGAGTTCAACACATGTACATGCAGCCCCGACAAAGTAAAAAGTTTTGGACGAGATGGTCAAACGTGACAATCGTGACGCGTTATTTTAACACTCAAGTACGTAGACTAAACAGAGCTGAAAACACCCAGGTGGTTTTTTTGACTTACCGACATAGGGTGCAGATTATGTTGACTACATCTTAAAATTACGATTGGGGAGAAGTTTATTTTCACCACAATGAAGATACGAAGACTGTGAAGTGTTTAAGAGTAGTGACGATAACTCAGTTATGTTGTCACATTATGTGCTGAGATTTTAATCTTAAACATGAAAAAATACTCCTCTTTCACCACTATTACAATAACACATCGGTAAAAAGGCATATTCACTCGTATATTTAATGCACAGTGGACACCGCATTTTAAATACATGTAGATACTTTAAAGGAGATACACCAAGATTACAGTGAATGCTTAGGGATGGAACGATTTCCGAGAAAGCTTTTATTAACACTACTTCTCTACATCACCTAAATGAATAGTGTTTATGCCTTATCGATATCAGACCCCAAAAGTGATAAGCAAACAGAAAATAATTGACAACTAGGAAATCCACTCATTAATCTCATTTTTAAGTTTCATTGCTGTTACAAGGCTCACGTTTCTCACTGAAAGCAACTTAGACATTAAACTTTCATGTTTTTAAGACTAACATATAGCTACGTAGATCGTATGTCGTTAGAAATGTTCTTATTTTTATACTAGACTTTAATTGAGGGTTGTATCCAGCGTCAGTTTGACAACTTTGCAATACGCAGCCCGATTTAAGTAATTCAAGTTATAACATAACTTGGACAATAAACGAAACTATTAATACAAGCCGAGGCTAAGTTTAAACTGGCTCAAAATGGAATCAAAATATATTGCAACTGTATTTATACTACATGACTTGAATATAAAAAAGCTACTTTGGAACATGTGCTACAAGGGATATTTAGATGCTCATCTTTGATTAGTCGACAAGCTGTAGTGTTAACAGTTTTGTAGTTTACTTTCTTTTACTAGAAATTCATTCCTACACTTATTCGTTATAAGGCCAAACGGAAACACGAAAGTTAACTTACCAAGGCTATGAGTACAGAAAACTAACAAATTTATGTGCATATCCAATTTCCCTTCACATAATTATGAAGAAAAGGTGAAAATGTAGCGTTTCGACGACGTCTCTTCCTAAAGCGAATCAAATCGTATGTTAAAACAGCGCTTAGAAGTTTCAAAGCCTTTTGTGTATTTGCATTATGTTATTCGCTTCATGCTTTATTTTCAATGAACATATATTTCTGTTTCAAAAACATCAATATCTCGAGTTAAAAGATATCAAAAAATGGAAAGTTAGTCGTATTATATTATTATTATTTGCAGGTACAATAGGATTTCAGTATCAATCTTCAACTGAACGCATCGAATTTAAGATGGCTTTTGTTTTCTTTTCCCGAATATAGTCGCTACAATAAAAACAGTAAATAATTACATATATATAATTCCTACGTATACTTGAAGCACAATAGCATCATAACAGAGCATGGGATGGCGACAACAAATGATACAAAACCACCTTTCGTCGTTCAGATTACGATGACTCGTATCCTCACATATACAGTAAACCGATAAATATAAAAATGGAATGTGAGGAACCGAAGAAAAGAACCAACAGAAAGTATAGAAAGCTAGGTGTTACATCTTGTAACCTGGGTTAAAAATCTCAAAATCTTATGAAAACACAAGAATTTCGTGAAATAAGTGTTATTCGTAAGATATTTTTACCGTAATTTGAGACTGTAAGACAATAATACCGTAGAAAACATGACACTGTTTTCAAACTGTTGACTTTATAATCAATCTAAGACACGATACTTACATACATGTAGTTGTAAGTTTTACGGCCTCTCAGACACTTCTGTGCACAAGAAAACCTCGTGCATTAACTTTTTAAACTAATACAGATCGATCTTATATTTTAGACAATTAGATCATTAATCCAAAGTTCAGTTGAAACCCTGAAAATATATTGGCAGGGTTATTATAAAAAGGAGTTAACTTCATCGAATAAGCTATTTACTTCAAACTGAACATATACTTAGTTTACAAAAAAATGAAAAGCTCTATTTACCTCTCATAAATGTTTAGTAGGTGCAATACAAGTGATAATATGATTACAACCTTTTTTAACTTGAGAACTGGCCGAAGTTTTGAACGATATCATCTATGAAAATCCACACATCTCTATGGGATGGTCTTTAACTAGCATTCGTTAAGTAAATCATAATTTAAGACAGTTAGTGCTCTAGACAGATTTGGTTAGTTTAATGAGATGAAGCCTATCAAAACAACGTGATGTAACAATAATAGGTCAATTTCAGCTCAGTACAGTGAGAACAATCTGATACCATATTTTTATGTGAGAAAAAAAACCCGACTAACATTACGATAACAGGGCCAATAACTCAAAATCTTTGCCAGATATTGATTGGTTTTCACAATTGTGAAACCTTAGTATTAGTTTAGAGTGATGATGAGAAGTTAAGGAAAATTCAATCTAATAAAAATAATATAAATTAATAGCACGAAAACAAATTGATTAAATTATGCACCCTTTGAAAGACGACACTCGATGGAATAGACAATTCCATAATGCAGAAAATAAGAATTACCTCTTTTTAATAATATTCAACTGATGTGAAGCTAAAAATTGACAATCTTGACGAATAGCCCGCATTGCACAACGTTTTTCCTTTGCAATTTTTCGCTGTAAAGTTCGTTTAGTATTATCACGCTGATTTACACACAATCTGGAAATAAAAATTTCAGAATAAATAAAGCGATAAAAAGAACCACCTTTCCATCGACATGCTATGATTGATAAAATACTTTGAAAATGTCATGATAATAAGAGCTGCTGAGAGATAATACAAGAACTAACAGGGTTAGTTACATAAAAAGCATTTTAGCTGACTTTTACTGACCTATTAATACCCACTAAAGGTACAAATAAAGATCAATATCATCACTAGCTTAAAGCACACTACTTTTCGGCTTTAGTGTTTCGTTATTTGTGCGTCATTATCCTTACTCCTTTATATTTTCTTTATGGATTTTTCGTCACTGTTCTTATGTAAAATGTCATAATTTGGACGTATGAATATTCTTAATAGGTTTCAAACTATATATATCTATCGCGCTTTGGTTTTTTGCTTATGGTATATGTTATGTTCGAAACAATCGGAAAGTACATTTTTGAGTGCTTTGAAAATTATGAACGATTAATTTGACATTTGTGTATCCATTCTTCGACCTTATTCATTTGATGAATGCTTAGAAATTGTTTAACTAAATTTTTCTTTTATTTAACTATTCACCAAGTTCAAATTATGGTCATTCCTCTAAATCATTCTTTTGTTAAACTTTGACAAAAATATATGCGCCGCTAAACCTCTACACATCAATTCTTTTTTGGGATCCAGTTATAAAACAGGTAGATTGGATGAATTCTCGAGAAACGATTGGTTAAGCTACAACTTTAACATAGCTACCTGAACTTTGTAATCATTCGAAATCATAGCAATTTAGTCGTCTATAGTAGAATATGCCCTTGATTATTTATTTATTTTAACACATAGATATTGGTACAAGGAGGCACCAAATACATATGCGCCACACAAATTACATTAGATTTGTGTGAGGGCTATGATACTGCCCGGGTGCCCAAACCGAAGCAGGTGGTTTCTTTAGGTGGCCACGCTCGGAGCCTTCGACATGAAGGTCTGATCCACAAGGCAGTGGAGCATCGTAAAAAGATTCAGTCCCATGTCAGCCCGTGACCAAAGATTGGTTCATACACCATTTGTTCACTCAGGATAAGTCAGTCAGTGGTCTTGAGTGCTGTTAGAGGTATGAGGGTGGTTATCACTTCCCGGTTGCCCACACCGTGGAAGGGTTGTTCTGGAGGTACCTGAAAAGGAAATTGGATTAAAGGTGGTCTTAGTGACCTGAGAGCGTGACCGCAGTGCCCAAGGGACAACTGCTTGAGGTCGGTCACACACGACCTTGTTATGGGTAATTTTTGTGTTAGCTCCGTACTTATTGAGACCTTACCGCCGGAGACGGATATCCGTGGGATAAGGCGAGGTGTGCATTTTTCTAACCCCACCCCTCCTTGTGGGAAGGCAGCATCGCTGTCATGCTGGTTGCCTGAAGGAAACACCTTACTGCTGTCACACCTCTGTACAGTCAGCAGTACGACTTCGCCTTCGGACCTGTCTGACATGGTAGGACCTTGAGGAACGGTTGTTCCAGCCAGTATAGCTCGGTTGCTTCATCACGATAGGCAAGCCGGACCACCACGTCAAGGTAGCAACAACGGTCAGGTCACTCAGGATATGGAGCCCATATGCACAATTGGTTTGGAATCAAGGTTTACCAACTCCCATAGGTGGACTCTCCATGTCCACTAACCCGGTTAAAGCGCCGAACATTCGTTTTTCGTCCTCTCAACTTCGTAAATAACACCCCCGCCACGAGAAAGCAGTGAGTAGGACTTCCCTGGCAGAGGCTATATACGCATGGCCATGTGAGAGCATTTCGAGAGGGAGAGCGGACTCTCCCCACTCTCGGCCGTACCAGGGCATTTGGGGGCATGCCCTTGATATTGGCAAGTGTGTAATTTCGATTGTTTGTGGAAGTTCGAATTTGTTAGATAACTTATTTACCTCGTGGAGAATAAAACACTGATCATTAATTTAATCGCAAAAGATTTTCTTATTTTTAAATTTTATTTACATTCGGTTTTAGGTTATTTGATCATGATTAGAAATATAACGTTGAGTGCTTCTGAAGCGAGATACTCACAAACTTTAGATTCATATTTGCAGTTTATCGGAATTATAGAACGTGTTACTATAGAATTACAACGTGGTTTACGCGTTTATTATTGATGACTGACCAATGTGAACTGTGAAATGGATTTTATATTACTCCTAATACACCACAGTCAGTCATCATCAACGTAAGACATGCAAGGAATGTGTATCAGTTCAAGTTGCAACACCTAAAATCAGAGGTTAGGAAAAGAGGAAATCGACAAGTGCTCAATAAATACTGTCTATTAGTTCTGCATTTGCGAATAAATTAAACATGAAGTTTTTTTATTGCACTTTGGATTTGTAGGGAAGTTCGCTCAAATCCATCTAAAACTTCAATGAATTTGTATCATGCGGTTAAACAACTGTCATAAAAGAACTGCATAAATTTATTGTAGAGAGAGAGAGAGAAAAGAATAGTCACTGATTACAGTTATGCCCTGAATCAATACTTCTGGATTACAAAAAATTTCAAAGACCAATTTTCCAGTGAACACACCACATAAACTGGTTTGTAACCGTCTATTGAAAAAAAACATTAGAAGCTTTAAAATCATATATAAAGTAAATTCTAGAATCGGATGTTCCAGAGTTTAAACAGAACATCAGTTGTACTTCAAATGTCTGATCCTGAAAAAGTTTCGCCATACTTACAAGTTAATATATTTAGAAACTCAAAGTCTTTCAGAGAATTGGCAACTTGGACCGATGGATATATGTGCCTGGGCCTACGTTGTAGCTGACTAAATTTCAGAGAAACTAGCGTAGAATAACTCTTGATAACTAATAACGATATATCCGTCTGGAATCAGGCTAATGAATGACTTGTTACCTGTTTTCTAATAGACTGATTTAAACATTTAGAATATGAGTAATCTTTGGCAAGTGACCTTTGTGACCGAATATATTGAATACAATACTTTGAAATAATAAGCCGACCAAGTGTTCAAAAAAGGTAACAAAGCATCTGACAAAACGTGATGTAGTATCGCATTATTGTTCTATGTTCGTAACACCAAGTAATTTTTATAATACACAAAATCCCCTGTAGGTAAACATATAATCAGGACAATTACAAAACAAAAATTAGAATTATCTTTCACTAAAAATATGTGTAAGCAGATGAAATAAAATTTACCGTTCATCGAAAACAGGCTCAAGTTGAGGCAGAATGCCTAACTTTTTAAATTCTTTGGAATCTGTTGGTTTCAAGGTATTCAAAACTAAAAGACGACGATCTGATATTAATCGAGCAGGTGTAGGAGCATTTTCTGCTGACTTGATTGATTCGAAGAGACTTTTGATTTCATTTACTATAAACGTGGGGTGATAAAGGAAGTTACTTTCTACCAGAGACGTTTTCAAAGGACGAAACAAGTTCACTAGAACGCATTTAGGTAAGAATTTGTTATATAGTAGGAAAACTTGGTTAGCTAGACGAATCATCCTGTAAACGCAAGTTAAACGAAGTACAGGGATTTCGTTGAGAGATAAGGGGGAAGATCTATTTACAAGGCGAATGTCGAGACTCGGCAAATCGGATCTAAAACGGAAAAAGATGTATCTTAACTAAGAAGACAACATATTTGAAAGGTCTGACATTTTTATTCAAAATGAACGATCTTAAAGGAAACAAGCTGATGACAGTACGAACGCAATAACATATGATACATTCATCAATAATTACCCACAATGCAATCTTCTGACATTTCCTGCATTAGACTTGTGCTTAATAACAGTCAATTTTGACATAACACCTGTTGTTTCTGTACATGTACAAAGATTCTACTCAAACTTGTAAAGCGAGACTGATAAAATTTTCATTAATTGACTCCTCAGAAAAGTACTATAAAGCTGCACTGGAACAGATGAGGCCATGGTTGAAAATGTCAGTTGTGTATGAAATCTTATGTACGCCATATGCGCCTAAATTACTTTAGGTATAGCTGACATATGGTGTCTACTGACATATTGGTGGTTGTTCAGGAAGAAAAAATGCCCTTTGATTTTATGCAAAAAAGCAGATATATATTAGGGATATATGAGATTACATTTTCGGATGACAATTTTGTAAATTATGCTAACAAATGGGGATGTGAGAGCTATTTTTTAAAGGTTTTATTCGATGGTTTGATTTTTTCTTCTGAACAAGGTAATTGCTTATCCACAAAAAGGACTGTTTCGAATTAACAGCTCATTATCAAGTAACCATACTACAGTTTTGATAAATTTAATTTCTGAACTTTTTTACAAGGAAAAGTGAATAAATATGTAGATTAAACTTTGATACGTATTACATGGAAATTTGTTCGAAAACGGTTCACTTGGGATCCCCAAATGCTACACAATACTCAAAATAGATTTTATATGGATTAAATTGTTTTAATAACGGTTTGAATGGAAAATAATTATACATCACTAATATAGTACATACTTACACTTCAATAGTAGTCAATGGTTTTCTTAAAGCTAAAATGTGTTTTTGTAGATTCGAACCAAGTGAAGTAAGGCGAAACAATCGGGATAGTGCATGTACAATTTCCGGACAAAAAATACCACATTCAATAATATTTGTAGACAATTTTCCATCATTTTCTAAACGTTCAAATATCTCAGAGCAATATTCAAACGCCAACTGTATTAAGAAAAGATAGCGAACAACGTCTTTTAAACGATGCAATCTAGCTGTCCAAAGTTGGTGAGAAATGAAGATAATAGCAGTGGACTTTTCTTTCGGTAGTCTGAGTAAAATACGAAGATGGGAAACCTAAAATAGTGCAACCAGAAATATTTGGCAGAGGCAATCGATTAACCTTATCGCAGAAGTCAGATATATAAGAAATAATGAATCAAGAGTCAATTTTATTTTGATAAATTCCATTGTTAAACTTGAAATGCACATAGTTCTTATTCTATACACTTACCAATGTTTCTGATTCAATGACGTGGTCGCTCGCTTCAATCCTATAAGCACCAATTTACAAAAATAGAGGGAAGAAGTGAATAAGCATAAACAATTGATTATTAAGATTATAAAGTTATCGTTTGATTTTAGGTTTCCTCTAACCAATTCCCAGTAAATCTTTTGTAAGTACAAATGGGAAAGTTATGAATGACTTACCATTCGGTGGACAAACTACAGTCAGATATAGGTTTTATCAAAATACTGTTCAACACTGTTAAAAACGATTAAAGCTACTCACAAAATGTAGTAGAAATTAAAATAAATTCGGCAAGACTATAATTCATACATCAAGAACATAATTAATTGTGAACATATTAGGCAATTGAAACAACTTTATATGAAATGCTTTCACATTATGTTAAGTATGTTACTAATTACAGAAATGGACTTGAAATTCTAGGTAACAAATAAATTCATATCAGGCCAAATTCATTTGATAAGTCTAATCTCTTAGGATTACGAATAATTAGGTTTGTAGGTATTCGATAAAACATCAAAGTTCAAAACATCAAAATGCGTTTGCTCAAAAGTGCCTGAGCAGCTTTCGGATCACTTTTTAGCCGTATATGGCAGGTGCTATTGCCTAAACTATTTTGTGGAGGACAACAGGACCGATGGATTTCGATAATAATTTTGGTCATATCTAAGAAAGGGACAATAGAAAACGAGTAGATAGAATGAGTTTAATTGGAAATGTTATGCAACACAATGTTCTTTATTTTATATGTGCTATTTGAACAACTGCTAAAATTCTTCTGAAATTTTAAATTTTATCACATACTCAAATGACTCCAGGTACTGTTTTAACTCAGGTGGTTTCGCTAGTTTTCATTAAACTATTTGGTTTCATCATTGATTTGAATGAGCAATCTTTCGGTTGTATTCTGACAGATCACCACAAGCTGAATGAAGAATGCCTGAGAAATAGTCAATTACTCAGAAACTGTGGTGATACAAACCCTAGTAAAACGACTATAGAATGATTGTGACCGTGGAGCCTTATTTATAAAAAGAATACGGCGATAGTATGTTAATCTGACCACAAAACAGCATCAACCAACGAAATCACTGCCGTTTGATCTCAAACGGTATAAGAAGGTCAAACTTGACGGAAGTAACTGTAAAAAATATTCGCAAACCAAATTACTTTGATGAAACCCAGTTGGAATGACCCACTTGATACAAATCATTATCGTCAAACCTTAACACATTACGTGTAAGGCGTGGGATTCGAACACAGTTCCCTCGTGATTACTGATTAGTGGTAAGAAAAACAAAATATAGCCTCAATATTCTCTGTTAACTGCCTCCAAACCTCAAAAACATTCAAATTATAAAGGGGTTAAATTGTCGATTGAAATATATGGGATATGTATGTGATAGCAAAATGTTCAGGGCTATGAGAAAGGTAAGGAATCGTTGTTTGAAGTCAAAATTAGATTGATTTACTCATTATGATTTTTCGTCCAACATTAATTCCGTTTCGATTCGATGTGACGACGATTCGGCTTTGTTTTCCCGTATGACATTTTATCCCGTATAACATACGATATTCTTGTATTAAATTAACATAAACAGTACTAAGCGTATGATTTATTATAACTAGGTATTTTTCATATATGTGATTTTATTCCAATTATTCATCAAAAATAGGTATATGAATCAATATATAAATGAGCGTATTTCCGAATAGACTCGTGGTTGTTCGTGCTTCCGGCTGCTTGTGGAATATATTTCCCTCTTTCGAACTTGAACTTCTCTCTCTAGTTAGCTGGGCTGGGACGCGTCGTTGTGTCACAGAGTCTTCGTTCCGTTCTCAGATTAGGTGAACTCGTATTCTCTTCAAACATAGCAAAACTAGACCATTGGAATTGATTTTTATCGAAGTTGCCTAATTTCTAACCACTGGTTACAATACTTCATACTATTGGAAATTTACAATGCTTATCAACTAGAGCAAGATTCCATACCCTCAATAATTTGGGACCAAACATACTATTCTGTGATATCTAATCACCTAGACTAGTGACCGCTACAATGTGATCAGTGAGATTCAGTCCATGGTACGGGTTAGATATGACATCAATTTCAAACTAGTTAAAAATCTGATTTTGACGATACACTACGGCTTATGTTATTGTTAATAATCTTCATCATTCGTTATGTCGACTTGCATGTCCAGTGTTAATGTGAAGTGTCAAAAAATCGAGTTAACACATAGTTGTATAGTGTTTAATATTATTTTATCCGGTAGTGTTCTTGTAAGTTAGTACAAAATAGTAATCGAGAGGTAGAATGTTACGATATATTGTTACAGAAATAAAGTAAGAACTTACGAAGGCCTGCGGGCGCTCACCATATCCTGAAGCCTAAAGAGCTGTTCTTGTGGGTTGTGTGTATTTGAGGAGCCGATGGGCACCACTTTTTTATCGGTACTCAATGTTTCTAGTAAACGGGAAACATTCGTATTATTGTTCTGCTGAGTTGCTGTAGTCGGACGCTGAAAATGACGTTTATTAATAACATAACTCACTTTCTTCATGCCGTGGATTCTGTTTAAGAGGAAACGAATGTTTTTTGTCCATTCGTCATTGACGACCTTTAATCGCTCACGTTGCTCTTCATTTTCTTCGACACGTCTTAGCTTTTCCAATTTTGTAGCTGCAATTTTTTCCTCCAGAGAGTCCTTGAAACTATGTCCCAGTTTATTACCGGTAGAACCATTGGTGAAGAAGATGTTTTCCACAATATGACCTACAAACGTAGTGGTTTAATCTTTATTTCACCTTCAATTCCGCCTTCCACATCATCAGCCGTGCATAATTTTCGCACTGGAAAACTTGAGTCAAATGCCGCTTTGAATAAAGGATCTTTATCATCAATACTTTCTAACGAGACACTATCAAGTTGTCTCTATAATTTATATTAACATATCTAATGCATGTACCAATTTTTCGACGATGTGTCTTTGCAAAGACTTTTCGGACTCAGTTAGAGTGACATTACGATTACCCAAACGTTTATCAAAAACCCCACCCACTTTCTCATAACGTTCTAAATCACTTTTGAGGGATTTGGAACGCTAACGAGTAAAAAAAGCGATTATGACTTACGGATATAGTAATCCTGCGAGGTGGCTTTTTCACATATGTCCGATTTTGTTTCTTAGCGGGATTTTTCTTCATTTATTTGAAGTCAGCCAAAGTTTACAAAATCTATACAACCAGATATTTGGGATTTATCTGAAATCCGAGTCAACATTTGATTTGACCAAATAAAAAAATCTATACTAAGTTTTATATGAAAAGGCATAAATGAAATAGACACAGGTCAATGAAAATAGAGTTAAAGATTGTTGAATATTAACGTCTTAATAACATAAAGATCACCATAAACATCAACACCATTACGCAGGTGTAAAATGTTTGGGATTAGCAAGGAATTCACCAAACTGTAGCCTTTTAAAAATGTTGGCTACTAGTTACACCAAAGAATGCAGCTTTATCGCTTGAAAGTTTAAGACATACAGAGTTATTTACTGAATGATTTGGAGAAAGGCACTTTAAGTACTTTCTGTTGACTACTTGAAAGTTAATTCGATTGCTTCATTCGGTTCAATATTTGTTACATAAAGAACAAGAGTAAGAGATTGAAAGAGTTTGATATTAACACCTCTAGCCATACACACTGTAATGTGCTGTGAATATATGCCTGAGTTCTATAATTTATTAGTGCTGTACTAAATACCTTCTGGTCAATTAGGATATATTTTGGTGGTACACACACTGCAATTTCCTGTACGAAGTGTTGGTTCATATCTTGATTACTTAGGAAACAAACAATTCGGTCAATATGAAGCGCTGAGATCCGAAACAAGACGAGAAAAGATTACTGATAAAGATAAAGGGTGAATGCTTTACACGACACAAATACAGGAATATCGACATGAGGTCACAAGCAAAGTATACATCATTAAATCTACAGGTACACTAAGCTACAGAACCGTAATCACTGATTTCATCTGAGTCATGTCATATGAATTATACAGTCACTAAATGCCAACAGACATTAGCATAGAATTTCCAAAACGTTTTGAAGAGCAATATCAGAAACTTTTCTTTTGAACAAAGCATCGAGATCAGTAAACGCCGTTTAATACAGACGCGAATGAGGTAAAAAAGTTTCTATTTGGACGCCATCGGGTAATGATGGGTTCCCACTATTCTACATACACTGAAGGGTCAAAAATATTATTACTTTTCACAGACAACGCTTGAAAGATATCTTTAGCTGCTAGGCATTTTTATGCAAATAAGCATATAAGGTTGTATTGTAGTGGAACATATTTGCCAATTTTACACGCTAAACCAGTAAAGCTACTTTTCATAAAACCGAAAATTCTGCGAATGGCACATCACAACTCATCTTACCACACGAGTATTTTCAAGGTCGAACCTGCCCTTGACAAGGTCACAGTAAAAATTGGCCTGGCACCTATGTGAGTGTAGGTGTTTGTTAACAAGATTACTCATATTCTGTACTCATAATCACGTCACTTAAGTGATGGTTGTCTGAAGTCGCAACACTTAATCTTAATGTAACACGAGACAAAAGGAAACCGATTGATCGTGTTGTTTGAGTAGGATCAATAATGCCAGATTGTTTATCTTTGTATGTCAAACATTTAGAATCCATAACCATGAAACGCCATCCTCAAGCACAGCTAATTGTTGGTTCAGTGGCTTATGTATCAGAACAATGTTTGCTTATCCTGATACCTGGTGCGAAACGGAGTTTTACAACACCTGTACACGTAACACCTTTATAATCGCAGTATACTAACCGGGTCAAACCAGAAATGAAGGGGATGCAAGATATATTTGAAAGGCTATCAATAAAAGAAGAAGCGTTTGGTATAAACTGGCTAGCTGTTGCATGGGATGCGTAGTACGGAGTGCCCACTGGTGATCTGATGCCGATGTGTCACCACAGTGACTTGACACAACGTAAGGTTTGTCCAAGTCGGATATTGACCACGAGATGTGATACCAGCGAAATCCGTGAGGTCATGCCATTCCCGTACACATCTAGCAAACTTCCACGTCATCGAAGCAGATAGCCTACGTTAACCATCTACTGTTTGATCACAAGTATGCCTTTTGCTATATTGCAATATTTTGCTGTAATTGCAGAGCGCCTCACACATTCGTCGCATCATAGAGTCGCGTTTTCATCACCGGAAAATTTACATTTCTCATATAAGCCTACAAAAATTACAAAAAACGATACATGTCCTCCATCATGGGTCACGATATTGTGATTAATAGTTCATGTTTTATTTTGGTTGATTGCTCGTTGCAAGGCCAAAGTCGTAAGGAAGAATAAAGCTTGTAACCAACTTTTGTAACAAATGGGGAATTGTATAAATTAGTATATAAATTAATCAACAGTGAGTCTGTAAATATACAGAATGTAATGCCTTAACATAACCAGTGGGTGAATACGATAAAAATATATAATATAATGCTCGCATTCCAGAAGAACCTTATCGGTCAGACGCTAAACCAAAGAACTTAGGAAATTGCAATTAACAACACAAAAAGAACACTATATCTTTAGCAATGAACTCAGCAAGTGGTAATCAGTAATGACACAAAAATGAAAATATTTCAATTTGACAACAAGAAGTGATGAAATGGAGCCTTAAAATTGTTACAGAATCCTGTAATTTAGATATCGAAGAAAAAAATGGAAGAATTTGCATATTTATGACACAACACACTTCGTCAATCCTGTTCACTGAGCATTATATACAGAAACGTACCGGACTAAAATTATTAACTAAGAGCATACAATTTTCGGTTTCAGTGTTATTCGGTTGAACGCAGCTTACTTTAAACATAAAAGCCTAGAGTCGATTTGAGATTTTTCGTGAGTTTGTGCATAGAACATTGCAGAAAGATGGATCGTACGAGAGCCGACCAGTGATTTGCAGAGAAGTGGTAAAGCCCACTAAAAATTACGGGAATAATTATTATTTAGGGATAAAAATTACCCAGTGACAATACGTTTTCATCCCATGCGTTTGTAGCGGTAAATAAACCGCTAAATTCAATGAGTTTGTATTCTTCGACGTTTCATGCCTACCGCATTAGCTTTGATGGACTCACCTAGCTGAAAGCGTTCATTCATACATCCTCACCAGATCACGAGTGAGTACGCTGTGCTCAGCTTCTCATGCAACTACAAATCAGTTTAGATCAGCTCTCGATATACCGTTATTCCACTAATTATATCTTCGAACCTCTTCGCTTCTGACTTCTGATTTCACTTATTGGGCACGTTTTGATTATATACTAGTTAAGGTGTTGTCGAATTCCATATACTTGTGGCAACTTCACACTTTAGTGACATCTTCCTTGTTGAGCCCGACGTAAGTCTGTTACATTTTGGAACTTCATATATCGTTGCTTCTCAATAATTTTTATATATCGTTATATTTTTTCGTATTTCGGAAATTCTTCCACTTGTTGTCCATTCCCATACTCTATATTATTCACGACTGAACAAACTCCAAAGTACCTAACGAAAAATGCTCTTACACCAGCTGATGCCATAATAGACTTATGACAATGAGACCTGGTTCTGTTATGCAGGAGCCGGCTTCCATGAGTACAGCGTGACCAATCGACGTGCACAGTTCCTTGCCGTGGTGAAAGCACTACCACGCGAATTCAACGTGTACGCCACACCTAGTATGTTCACTAGCTATGTTCCTTAAACTGATGAAAATCTCAAATGATATATTTTTAGACACGGAAATCTAACCGATCAATAAAGGTTAGATCAACTCCTCGATAACATCAATCAATAACATGGATCCGCAACGGACATGCTGTTACGAATGAGTGCTAAGACAAATTTTCTTGTGTACGCTTCCTCAACAGGTGCAGGTAGTGCTTACCTGGTTCCGAAATAACTCTGCAAACAGGCTTGTTACATCTACCAACTGCATTTTCAGGACTACCAGAACTTTTAGCGACGAGGTTTTTTTCATTGAAAGAAAAACCTCAAAGGATACGAAATGACGTTACCGATCTCCATCATAAACTGACACGTTACCTTCGTATTAATCATGACAGCAGACAATCTCAAATTCTTTGAACGAGTACTTCACGAAGAAGATCTGTCTCTAGATCATGAAAGACAGATAATCCTGATCGGTGTCGGTATCATAATAAGCATGGAGAATCTCTAAATTATGGAAAACGCTGCTGTTTCCCGAGCTTCAGACCGATCGACATGGGGAAAGTTTCATGGAAATTGGAGACTATCCGATTCCAACTTTTCATTTCACTGGGCTTGTATGTTTCGATGATAAAAGTTGCGACTGGTTAAAGTGTTTCAAACTCCAAATATTTGTGGCATCTTTACGTTTCTTTTACTCAATGCACTCAAAACCATTCAACCATAAATAGTTTTATTAGCTCTCGGCGGAGGATCCCAAACGATTGCTGATAACTTCATGGCGTGTTCTCTTTTCGAGTAAATCATAGGATGAATCTAGATGTTTTTTTCATTTGTCTGTACAAAATGCGTTTATTTGAACTGGTGAAACACATAGACTCACGAGACGTTTTTATTTGCAAAATGACTAGAACAAAATTAGTTTGGTGGAGTTATTGAAATTATGAAATTACTTATTGTTAATTAGCATGTCGCAATATTTATTGGCTAATGTTCGTTGTTCTAACTAATCACTACTGGCAACAAATAGTGTGGACATTCAAAGGGTGAATCGTTTTTACGTAGTTTACTGATTGCTGTTGGTTATGTGTACAGTGTGCTGACTGTATGAAAACATAGTAAATGATGCAGTTTCACAGACAGGCTTTTCTTTGTGGTATACATTCACCAGCGTCCATTTACAATAAACGTTCTTATGTTAGGTGTTCATATTAAAAAATCTGAACGAAGCCTACTTATAAAATGGTATCACATCAGTTAGCTCCACTCAAAAAACTAATAATAACATTCGTCTCTCCTATTCCATCAAAAAACGTTAGTTTTAAACCCATAGAAAATGTTCACAATCTACCTAATTTGGTGAAATTTTGGAAAGATCCCCGAAGTTCAAAGACTTTCCACAGTTTTCGAGAAATATTACGGAAATACTCAAATTCAACTGACCTTTCTCAAACTTTGGGGAAATGTTTGGAGTAGAACCCCAAACTCAGTGTTACGCATTTTTCCAGACAAACATTTCATCACCCGTCTATTTTTAATCCATTGAAGACGAAATTTCAGTCAATTAATATTATTTTTAAAAATATCATGATCTTTGTACACGAATACTATACCAATGTTCTTTTTGAAGAAATAACAAAACCAGTATTTTCCGAATGTCTTAGTTTGGTTACTGGATTTTTGTTATGTGTTTCAAGTGTCCAGGTTCTTTTTTGTAGGAATACATCTCAAGGTTGGCCCTGGTGTCATTAAGTTTTATTGAATTTTTTTTCGTAATTTCAATTTCATAGAACTTTCATCAGTACGGTGAGACTATAATTTATGAACGACCTTCGACAGACGCAAAGTTGACCTAGGGAATGTCCATCTACTAACTAGGGTTATAAAACAGTGTGAGGAATTAGAATATAGATTTATAGTTGATGGTTAGAGTTAGGAACTAGGCATACGGTTTTCACAACGAACTGACATCAGCGAAAAAACCGAAAAGCTATTTAGCTAGATGAATGGATGAATTTTGAGCCAAAACCGAAAACCTGTTATCTTATATCTGATTGGTTCGTCCACAAATCATAGTCTCACCCAAGTAGTAACTCTTTTTCATAGTGAAGAAAATCTATGGTACAAGTAGGTCGTTTTGGTGGAAATCTGTCCTCTGATTTTTTAGGTTTAAACTTGAAACTTTCATTATCCCTCCTGATAAAATCATCAGAAAATTCAAATAGAAGTGAGTTATTCGAATGTTTATGTATTTTTTTACTCTAAACTTAATTGTTCGTTACCGACCCTTGTTATATCATTGTTCGCGTTTCTAATGCGAGTATCATCTTTTTTGATGATGTTTAAACCTCACAGCTGTTCAACGTTTTCTGCTTGATTGATAAAATAGGTTGTTCCTGATGGTTATTGATTGATAATCTACTTTTGTGGCAAGCTTAAGAAAATCTCCAGGCTTCTTTCGTATGTCTCAATATAATAAACTTGGACTAATATAAAGGACTACATATTGTGGTGTTTGATATATATTTGGAGTACATGTATGTGTGTGTGAAAAGGGTGGCCAGTTTCACATGTATAGTGTTTATCGGATTTGGAGTTGTTTGTTTTGTGGATATTGTTTGGCTTTCCTACTTTCGTCATTGTATCATTTGGTTTTTGCAAAGTCAACTGAAGTAATTTTTTTGGCTTGAGT